CTTATCAGAACTGCCATGGTTACTACGGTTGATACTAAACATCTAGGGTTTAGGGTTTAGGTTTAGGGTTATCCTGCATGACCTTCGTATACTAGAATACCATCATTCTCGAGCTATAAGATACTCAGGGTCATGCAGGATTTCTTGTACCCTTGCACTTTCAAGGTTGTCTGGGTTGCTGTTAAGGAACTTCAATTGAGTTGCTACAATGAGGAAACTTATACCCTAAACCCTATATACGCGCAGTATGATAACTTAATTTAAGGCCCTTAACAGCAACCCGGTTGTCTGCAATCGGGGGCTGGACCGATTGCCAAGATCCCTCCTGTCTTTTCCTGACAGAAAGCGCTTGCAGAGGCGGGCGTGCGAGGTTGTTTCCATTTTAGGTCTTTTGGTTCCGAAATGCTAGAGTGTACAGATCGGAATTTTGAGCTTAGGGGCTTTGGGGTTTCAGGGTCCAGGCTTAGACAACTAAGCAAGAAGGTTTGCATCGAATGAGAGTGCCCAAGTGCTAAACCGCGTGCATACGTCCGTAGTTTGGCTTTTCACACACTTCACTACACACAGAAGCACTACAGGGAGAAGCTGCTGGAATCGGTGCCGCAATGTGCTTTGGATGCGATGCAGTCAAGAAGTCGTGAGGCATAAAGCCTACACGCTTACAATCTGCAGCAGAGGATACATCTCAACAGTGTCAATTCCTGGGCCCCCGCAGCACCTCAATAGCTCCTTTTCACAACACAGCCTAAGGCCCATCTGCTGCCCAAAATACCATCCTTGCCAATTTGGGAGCTTCTCGAAACATACCCTAGGTAATCCCTGCTAAGCATCCCCACAAACTCCTCGCACCCCCTAAATGACCCGTACATACCCCCTGCATCCCCCTCTATGACTCCTGATCCCTACACCCTACATGTTCCTAGACTTGCTAGGCCGGTTCCTTGGCTTAGGGTTTGGGGCTTAGGGCTCCTGAGTCGGTTTGAGTATAACAACCTAAATCCTACAAAAACCTAAACCTGAACCCCTAAATCCTAAAATCCAAACCTAAACCCTGAACCTATATCCTAGATCCTAAACCCTAAACCCTAAATCCTATATCCAAAATCCGAAGCCCTCACCCTCAACCTACACCCTAAACTCTAAACCAACCATGATCCAACAAGTGAGGTCCTCCAGGCCGAGAAACTGCAGTGCCGCGCGCGCCTCCACCTGCAAGTAGGATATCTGCTTAAAAGGTTTGGGGGTTAAGGGTTCAGGATCTGAGACTTAGGGTTTAGGGTATGGGGTTTGAGGGCTTGGGATGTAGAGTTTAGGGCTGAAGTCTTAAGATCTAAGCTTCAGATTTAGAGTTCAGGGTTTGGGGTTTGGGATTTAAGGTTTGGGGCTTAGGGTTCCGGATTTGGGATTCAGGGTTGAGACTTAGGGTTTCTCATCATCCAGTGGTCACCGTTTAGGCACCCTTCCATGGGAAAACAAGAATATGTCGGATCACTGCTCATTGCAAAAGCCTCCTGGGGGCCCCTATCAAGGAACATAAAAACACTGTATAACCAAACCCCACAGAAACCCTATACGACCCTGTAAAAGCCTAAATAAATCCTGAATCACCCAAAAGGACGCTATAGGAAATTGAAAGTTAAACTTAATTGGAGCCTCCTTACCTTGGCTTTTGAATCCCCCGGTGAAGAAGGAAGGCAGCCCTTGAAAGGTTTTACATGGAGTTGATGCTGGGTTTATATGGGTTCCATAGCACTTCTATAATGTATTATACGCTGACCCCTGACCTCAAGCCTTCACCAGATCACAAAGAGTCTTACCAAGCCTTCCCCAGTCAGCACTTTGGATTGTTTCGCCCCTCCTTTAGCAATCAGGAATGCAGATTTTGAGGCTCAGAGCAGGAGGCTCAATTCTGACATGTACTTTGTTAAGAGGGCTCCGGCAGTGGTAGTTGCTTTCAAAGCCAATGCTTATTGCTTTCCCCTGCTGGCTTCGGATTCGGGTGGCTTTCCTGGCAGCATGCAACAGCTGCAGCAAGTGCGTCATTTCAACCGATGCACGAAGCCGGCACATGGAATGGTGGCTCCACTTGGCAGAGCACCAGCATGGATAGGGAGCACACACTTGTGCCAGAGTCGTCCAAAGCACTGGTGCTGATTGGGTCTGAAGACATTGGAATCCTTTAAATGTATGGGTCCTCTTCTTTTTGGACGCCGATGGTGACAATTGCTAGTATTCGCAGGAGGTACGAAGGAGATGTTGCGAAAAAGTTACAGTCCAGAAGTCACTTCCTCTCTTTGGGAGCTCTGAGCCATGATTAGAACGCTTGCTGTTAGAGCTATGCCTGCGTACCGAGACAATGAAAGATGTCCACGATATTCATCATCCGTACCACCATCAACACGACTCTACCTCGGCCCTAAACCCTACGCCAACCCACAACCCTTAAGGCCTTTAAACCCTAAACCCTTAAACCTACCTCCTGAGCGCTGGGAGGGGAGTGTCTAGGTCTCTCCTAGGCCTCGCTTCAGGCCCCTTCCCTGACCCGCATTCAGCCGAAGAAGGACGGACCGCATCTCACCTCCAGGGGGGAGGCCAGGCGGTTATCAGGCGATTATGGGTCTAGGGTTTAGGTTTTTTGCGTCAATGTCTGCAAGACGAGACCATTGAGCAACGCCTTCCTTGGTTTAGGGTCTGGGGTTTGGGGTTTGGAGTATGGGGTATAGGGCTTCGGGATGTTTGGGGTTCAGGCTGTTTACTAAAACCTCTTCAGACCTACGGGGATATGTAGGGATATCCCACTTGCGGAACATCAAATGGAAAGGATTTAAAAAGAACGAGAAATGGAAAGTGCGATAATGTGGGAACCGGTAGCAGGTTCCAACAGACCACATCTACTGCCTTTGGGAGTTTGAAGAGCTTCAAGAAGCTTCCACGGATTGCTAGCCCTCTTCGATGCAGAAGGCAAGATCACATTGTCGAGCGGGAATGCTGCAGTGAATGGCATCTGGGGCTTGCTGCTCCGTTCAGCGCTGAACCCAATATTCAGAACCTCGCGCCACAGATGTGCCAAGATGTTATGGCAACTCAACCAAAGTCGCATGCCTGAAGCAAGCAGGCACTTGGTCAAACCAGTACCAGAGAGTGCCAGCGCAGGCAGCAAATGCCACAAGATTAGCACCTGTTGCTTGTGAGAGATTTATTGTTCGAGCGCCCTCAACCCTGAACCCCAAACTTACCGTGCACATCAGACTTGCATGCAATGCCCCAAAGCCTGTCTTGAAGAAGCTCTTCCTTAGCAGATTACCGGGGGCCAGTAGGGATAAGGGAATCTTTAGGGTTTAAGGTTTGGTTTGGGGTGAGTGAGGAATACGGGAATATAGAATATAGGGATATGTAGGGAATATATTCCCTTATTCCTGAGAACCAGTAAGTAGGGGAAAAGCAACGATGGAGAATCCAATAGAAAAGAAAATGCACAACAAAAAGTAAACTCAGGTTATACTACGGCTTATAAGATTTGTAATGATTTAGACAACCCCAACGCCTATAATCGAGGAGATTCGAAACCAAAATCCAAGGAGGCTTGTCCTCACCGAAAAATGAAAGCTGTCATACGTTCCCACTCAGTCTCTGTGTCTCTTGCTGGGGCTCAGATAGCTTCAGGTCATGTGAAAGATGGTAAGCAATCTCTATTCTCAGTGAAACATATAAGAAGATAATGAGGGAATGTAAGACGGTAGGTTGCCAAAATTCTTGCGTCCCTTATAATGCTGCCGCTGATATTTAGCATACCCCCAAACAAATCATGTGGACAAAACCCCCATATGTTATTCACATATTGCAGCCCAGCTTCATCTCGTCCTCTTTAATCTCCAAGGCCACATTGAAGAGAGCCATTAGGAAGGCCTGAGCTTACCCACACCCCCGCCTTCAGAGGGACTTAAGGTTTCCATGCTCTTTTCCATTTGCTTCTCCACAACTGGTGTATCCGAAAACCACCCCTAAACCCCCATACCCCCATCGCCAGCCCAGTGGCTGAGTGAGTCCCAACCACAATTTCTGTCTCCGAGCGCCCACGAAGCCACATCAAGAAGTCGTGAGCCCTGCAGCTGTACCAGAACCAGAACAAGATCTTCATATACCCGAGGCGAGTGAGCGATACATATTCTATCTACTAAGAGGGATTACAGGATTTGCAGCTAGTAGGAAATCTGGGACGCCCCGGTGCGCATTTGCATAGCCCGTAAATCATTCCGTCTAGTTCCCTGCTGGGTGCCATCGAGTGGGTTCACAAGGCGGAGAGGGAGGCCGAACGAGAGTCCAAAGCCCCTTCGCTAACACTTATGAACGTGCTGCAGAGGCTGTGCGCAGTGCTGCACCTATCACATGCGGTGATGATGGTGGTGGTCGTGGTAATGACGGTTGTGATGATGATATGATGAGGTTCAAACTGTAGCACTGCTGACCAGACAAGCACGTCAAAACAGCAGAGCCATGACCAAGACAACAGTCGCAGTGGCACTGCAAATAGCAGGATCGTATCTCAGAACTATTTCAGGTACCTCTGTGCAAGCACATGATCCGTAGCCAAATCTCCTTTTACTACTATGAAGTCTGCATTCCATCTCCCGAGGCTGCCGGAATCCCGTTTGAATGCTCACGAAAGAACCGTCAGGAATTCCTAAACCCTAAGCCTCAAAACCCTAGACACTACAACCATAAGCCCCAAACCCGTAGCCTGTTGGCCATCTCCAGGTATGTCTCTCGACTGGATGACGCTGTGGGATCCTCTTTTACACTGACTTCAATGGGGTTCATATAGGGCTTCTACAGGGTCTCTTCAGGGTTTATACAAGATTTACATGAGCTTTCTGTATGGTTCCTTAGAGGTTTATATACCAATCTGCTTTCAAAAATTCGTACAAAACCATGTAGTGATCACTGGAGATTCGGCCTTCAAGGATTGTGACCTGTTCTATAGCTGTACCATAGGCTTGTCCTCATGCGAATATGCCATTCAGCCAGGCCGCCTCTTCATCTAAGCAAGAGACGTCAACTTTTGGAAACATCTCGGAGTATTCCGATCTGTTGACTCGCATGTCGCACAGATTCACGCCGAGGCGTTCACGGCCTAGGCTGTCTCTCGTTGCGCAAGACTTGGAAATTCTTGCGGCCTGAAGCTTAGACTCGGGCAACCTTCGTGAGCAACGACTGGGATCTTCCCGTCGATTGCGTCACGGAAGGCAATCATGATAGTCTGAGTCCTGAGATGTCATTTTTCATTCCTGCTATACCAGATTTGTCGCTTCAGTTGCCTGCAACATCCACATGTGGCTAAGCCTGGGCCTCCTGCGCTCTCTGCAGCGGCGAGACCACCAACAGCTCTGGCTTCAGCTGCTTTGCATGCGGCAACAAAGCCTGGAGGCTAACGGCTTTGGAGTTCGGGCAGCAAGCACCCCAACGTACTGCTGGTTAGCAAGGAATTTGGGAAGGGATCCTCATAGTGGTCGCTATACAGCCCCTGTAATAGAATAGTTTCCATTTTCTTTTCCATTACTCCGTATGTCACAATGTAATCGGTTTATAACCCCAGTTTCCGTCTCATGTTGCATGTTCTTTGCCATTTCTTTCTCCGCTATGGTAGTCTCTGTTTCTTTTCCATTCCTTCATTCCCTGCTACCCTAGACCCTAAACCCTAAACCCTGAACCTTAACCTCAAACCCTAAATCCTCAACCCTAAACCCCCTAAGCCCTTAACCATCTTAACCCTGGGACTCCGGCATCTTTGCCTTGGCGTCTTGGATGCCCAGGGGTGTCAGAGGCGGATCTTTCATTGCCTCCTGACGACAGCAGGGCCATAGCTACAAACCGTGGGGTCTACAGGAGTTAGTTAAATGATGGGTTGAGGGAGAGGTTTCAGGATTTAGGGCTTAGGGATTTAGGGAAAGGACGGGGAGTCAAATGGACAAGAAAACGGAAGCTACCAGATTATTGTGCTTTACTTGGGGACTACCCTAAACCCTAAACCCTAAACCCATCTTTGCTGCCAGGCTTCATGCGTATAGGGGTTGAAGGCATGGCTGCCTCCCAAATCGGAGAAGCTGGCGCCAAGCTGCTTCGAAACTTCGGCAAGCACGTTGTGATAGCCCTCACAAGCAGTATGTTGATCACTCTTAACAGAACATGAGAGGGAAAAGTATAGCAACACTGAACGCAAAAGCGGTCATGACTTAGAGGCTCAGAACTGATCTTTTCCGGACTTCGTACAGAAGTGAGCCCAACAACACTCACCCACAGTTGGTCCAGCTGGCTGTTGCCCATCACTAAGCAACCTGAGGAATCGCAAGCCTCTCGCAAATCCCCAGTGGAGAGCAGGGGCCTGCCCATGGCGAATCCAGTGGATGAGCTTGGCACCCTGAAAGGCAAACTAAGCAACCGCTTCTAGTAGCAGAGTACTCCTCATGCAGGCTAAGAACGTGGGCACATTTTATTGAATAGGAAATGTGAGGACTGCGCCTGCTTAAGGATGACTCTAGGACTGCTCCCACTATGCATGCTGTTATTTTTCCTAGACAGCCCGCTCTTTCCGTTGAATTTTGTCGATGTTTAGCTGAATGAAGATGTTGTGATGGCAAATCAATCCAGATCTTCAGGGCCGTCGTCACAGTCTCCCCTTCAGACGTCGTTCGTCAAGCCAGTTCTTCAGTCCGCTGAACAGGCTGAAATTGGCATGTTAGACCAGCTCCAACACAAGAAGCATGAATCAGCATACATCCTGCAAAAGACCTGTTCATGAGTCCGAATTTCCGCACCACTGAGGCCTCCGGAACGGGCGTGCCGGGCTCCCAGCGCTCCACTAAAATCCGTGGCTTCTCGAAGTGTTTGAGCGTGGCCTGTGCCCCCAGGACACTAAGAAGGTTGGTGCAAAGAGAATCACATGGGTCAGTGGACACGTTACTATTGATGAGCTTACGACGGAGTTGAGGTGGTCTTGCGCTTCATGAAGCTCAAGGTGGTGGCAATGATGTTGCACATGTGCAAGGGTGCTATCAGAAGAGGCACTGGTGGTACCATTTAAGTCCTCTGCCGTGCACTGGCGGGAGAAGAGATGTGATTGCTTCAAGGAAGGGGCGGGAAGAGAGAACTAAAACCTGAATCCTGAACCTCAATGCCTGACCCCAAAACCCGGAGGCCAGAACATCCATGCCTGCCTCCGCCTCCGACATGTGGGCAGCATTGCACGCCAGCCGCAACGATTCGGCCGCCATGGCTACGCTTAGGTCTTGTTTGGCTAGTTTCGGGTGCGCTTTGATTTTTGGCTTAAGGGTCCAAAGTTTGAGGGGCTAGGGCCAGTTGGGGCTGAGGGCTTGAAGATTTAGGGGTTGAGGTTGTTGTAGGGCTCCCTGTTGGGGACTCGACTCATCTGCTGAATGGCTCAAGCCAAAAGCTACAGTCCAGTGGCCTAACCTTCACTACCTCAAAAGCCTTCATCCCAAGGACTTGGAAGTTGATCGAAGTATCTGTCTCAATAAAACCTCGCAGCTTTTATCTGCTTCTCGCTGAATGAAGACGCATACTAATATTAGTTCTGACAATAAGAATAATAGTAATAATAATAATAACAATAAGAATAATAACAATAACAGTAATAGTGATAATAAGAATGGTAAAAGTAATAGTAGTGACAATCGTAATCATAGGAAATGGCAACAATAGTAATACGAATAGTGATACAAAGAAGGAAAGTAATGATTTTTAGCATAACAGTGAGATGACATTGCCCAACTGCTCCAGATTAATGCCCGCGCTGCAGTGCACGTCTTCACCTACTGGTGCTTAACCATTATAAGGGTATATATGGAGAGTTCGTTGTAGGGATCCACTCCCCCACGCTCCCTTAAGCACTAGCAAGTTCATGTTAGTCTCGGCGTGGCCTTGGTGGCCAGAAAAGCAAAGGCCCCATTGGAGATGAGCGTACCTTGGGCAAAGGGCAACCGTCCATCTTGTCAGGGTTTAGGGTTTAGGGATTCCAGGGGACATGCAATGATTCTATGCAGTCAAGTATTTGACAGGGTGTCCGAAGCGCTGCACACACATACCTGGCAATCGCAAAAACCGATCCTAGTTGGCCTGGCAAAGTCTCAAAGCAAACACAGGCCACAGCAGTCTGTGGCAACACGCTCCGATAGTCCCAATAATCTATACTCTCAGAGATACCGAGGAGACTGCTGGACTCCCAAATCCCTTAACCCAAAACCTTAGGCCCTGAAGCCCTAAAAACACGACCTCAAGCCCCAAATGCTAAAGGCCTACACCCCAAACCCAAATCCAACTTCATCTCAAACCCTCAGCATCTGGGCATCCAGACCCAGCATCAGGGCCTGCGACAATCCGGATCCAGAGCCAGAGCCCTGCTGTGGGAGGTTGGTACAGCGGTTATATAGGAGTAATATTGGGGTTATATAGGGATTATATAGGGTATATATGGGGTTATATAGGGTATATAACGTAGGGTATATAAGGATTATATACCCTATATAACCCCCTATAGCTTTTTAAGGCTTTGGGTCTTTTAAAACGGCTTTGGAGTGTTTCATGGTTTTGGATGTAAGGGCTTAGGCTGTTTTTTAAGGCTTAGGTTGGCTCTAGGGTTGAAGGTTGCTTTAAGGAAAAGGTTGTAGGGTTTGACGTTTAAGTTGAAGAACAACAAAGGTTGACAACAGCTCTTCTTGCCCCGCTTGCCCCGCTGCAGCAGGATGATGTAAGATGATTTCCGACATAAGCCTTGCTGCTATCTCCATCCCCACAAGCTACTACTAGCAGGTTGCTGTTAAGAAACTTGAATTAGGTCAGCAAAACATGGGCATATAGTAAATAGTAGGGTGTCCGTCTTATAGAAACTCGAGTTATGTTCCTTAACAGCAACACAGATAAGTCATCCCTCAGATCAAGGCCTTTCCCAACAACGGACTTTGCAGGTTAAGCTCTGTGCTGCACGCTTCTTTTGCTACAGAAACTTCACTGAAGATACCATATGATACCACAACTATGCCTCCCCAAACCCCAAACCCTCAGACCTCTCTCCTAAGCCTAAACGCAAGCCCTTAATCCTAAGCCTGAAGCCCTAAATCCCTACACTCCCTATAGTTTCCATTTTGTTTCCATTATCCCAATATAACCCCAATATACACTGTCCTCAACTGCAAGAAGAGAGCCTGCAGTGCTAGCAGTGCCAGGGAGCCAAGCAGTAGTGCGCCTTTCACCACTTTCTTGGCGTTATAGGGATAGTGGAGAAAAGTAAATGGAAACTACTGTTCAGGGTTTATGGTTTAGGGTTTAAGGATAATGGAAAAGAAAATGGAAACTACTATTTAGCGTTTAGGGCTTAGGGTATGGGGCTTGGGGTTTAGGATTTCGGGGAAATGGAAATTATATATAGAAACTATAGGGATTATAGGGATTACAGGGTGTCGGTTGAGGGTTGCGGGTCAAAGGTTTAAGGGTTCAGTGCTTCTCTGAATTAGCGCCCCTCTCCGCTGTTCATATTACATCCTTCTGGCCGCTGTCCCCACCCCCCCCCCCCCACCCCAGAGAAAAGGCCCTCACTTTTTGAGTGTCCAGAACAGTTGTGAAGGGAGCCTTAGTTAAGAACAAGAAGCTTGACCTTGAAGTTGCAAAAGGAGGGAGAGACCAGTGCCAACTAAGATTTCTGGGTGAAGGGCAAGCGTCTAGTTCACAAATTGATTCTGGGGGAAAGCATTCAGGTAGTCCAAAAGTTAAAAGCTTTTGGGCTGAAGAGTCTGGTTTATAAAAAAGTTGTCCAACCATGACACAGCCACTAGTCTCCGCTAGCGACCGTACGAAGTTCTGAGGATTATTACGGCTGACTCTGCTTAACCCTGTCCACGGTCAGCTATGAGTTGGGCAGGCACGCGCTGTACCTTTGCAAAATGATGGAGCGGTGCCGCATCTGTGTCGCATATGCTGAGCCCCAACTACGGAGTCTACGCCCTTGCCTGCGCCTACTAGCTGACTAAAGATTCAATAGCCAGAGTTCAGCATCATGCAGGTGGGTCCACCGCGAGACCGTCGCTAACAAGTTTGTACAGTGAACCCAGCAGCTCTTCACACTGGGCCAAAGACTCTGATCGGCCGACTAGGCCTCCAGCAGGAGGAACTGAGTGATTGCTAGCAAAATAAATGACACGCCCCGGTGCATCCTGCTTCCCACCTAGGCAGTTTCCATACACAAGGGAGCCCAGTACAGACCCCAAATACTACAATTTTGGAACACCCAAGTCCCTACAAAGGCCTTGATAACCTCAGCTTCCCTTTCACGTTGCATGTTCTTCTCCATTTCACTCTCCATGATCGAGATAATATCCCCAAACCCTAAACACTCAATAATGGTTTCCACGTTCTTCTCCATTTTTCCCATATACAACCCTGATATAGCCCCATATCATATACCCTGCTTCTAGAATTCAGATCCTTAGATTAAACCCTAAACCTTAAATCTTAAACACTAAACCCTAACCTGTAGTTTGTATTTTCTTTTCCATTATCCCTATTTGATATATTCCCATATTCCCTGTTATAACCCCAATATATACCTTACTATAATGTAGTATTATAGCCGCAATATATATATATATACATGTTACTTTAATGTAGTAGTTTCCATTTTCTTTTCCGTTATCCCCACTCCGACTGGGAACCAGTAGGACAACGCATCTGCTGCGCACTGCACAGATGTCACGCGGCTTCGCCGCTGCAAGCCCAAGCGGCAGGACTCTGTGCGAGGCTGTTCTGATGTAGGGTTTAGGGTTTAGGG